TCTTTGTACAGATTATCCACTTTCGAGAGCTTCGACTCGTCCGACATCTGAGAGGAATAGAGACATACCATTGATAGGACAGCTCAAGACGTGGCATCCGGTGACCAGTACTCACCTTAAAGACGGCATAACCGACGGCCGACTCAAACAATACCAACATTTTCGGTGATAATTGAGTCAACAATTGGTAAACAATTACTTAAACGAATGAATTGAATGCAAAACACATTTCAAAACGAAAGACACGTTTTTCTCAAACATTTATTTTCATGCCTTTCATGCCTTTCATGCCTTTCATGCCATTTACAAATTATGTCACAAAATTTGCGCTCAAAATAACACACATTTCTATGGACGGGGGTCTCGAAGGCCGCCATAAAGTGATGACGTTATGCATGAATGGGACAAAAATGTGCGAAACGAGTGCTGTCTATGAGTGCCATCTATTGATTGCTGTGAATGTGTTTTGTGTTACGGTTTGCGACAAAACACTTGATTTGAAAATTGTTTGTCAATTGAACGCAACATTTGATGTTATAATCCACTCATCGCTCGTTCGCCGCTTCTTGGGATCAATTTGGGTGACAATGAGTGAACTCGACTGCGACGACGATCTCAGCGCTGATTATAACGACTACGAGATCCGCGACTCGGATGAAGGTCTGCCAGCAATGGATCAATTGATTCACTGTTTACTCAATGTTTTTGACACCTCTTTGGCAGACACTGAAGACGCCTCTGAGACGGATGTTGTCCTCAAATACGACAATACGGACAATGAGTACACAGAGATTAAGGAGCAGTAAGTGATGCTAATGTTTGCCATGAGTAGTGCAATGGTGTGACCGCCTGTCGTCCCATTCCCCTCCCATTGCAGGATATATAGGGATAAGTTGGCCACTCTTAAGGACCAACTGATCCAATTGGAAGCGGGTCTTCATCCGGAATATGTCCGTAAAATAAGACGTTTGGAACAGTTATACGAAGAGAGGGTACTATTGGATGAAGTGTTTCTCGCTTTCGAGGTATGCGTTGATTATCTCATTCGTGACACGACTTTGCGGTCTCAATGGATATGTCTTAATGTCTGAACCCGTGTTGTACTGAACGGACAGAACGAACGCATCGAAAGGGAGTACATATCGGAGAAGAGGTCAGCCGTACGGGAGTTCGAGGAGAGGAAAGTGGAGTTAAAGGAGAGTCTGCTCTCCGAGTTGGAGGACAAGAAGAAGATGATTGAAAGCGAGAGAATAAGTCTTGAGTTGGCGAACGACTCGACGGAACCGAAGCCATTGACCACAAGAAAACTGCGGCGAAGGCCTAACGAACCGATTCCCATACCGGAGAAGCGGCGCAGAGCCTCACCTGATATCCTTTGACACCATTCATTGATTTCTCAATAATCCATGCATTCATTGATTGTCTCATTGTTTTCCTTAACCGCTTCTATACCTCAACTCAATCTCCTGTTAGATGAGAGCGATATCATGGAAGACCTGAAGATCCTGAGCCGCGCCAGCAGTTCCAAGATGACGGCCGGCATGAAGAAAATCTACGCGCAGTCCGTGCATGCGATGGACTTGGACTCCATGTCCCCCTATGACGCCAAGATAGAGGACGGGAAGCTGTTCTACGACAAGAAGTGGTTCCATAGGGGACAGAACGTCATGATTGACACGAAGACCAATGACATGAAGTTCAATGCAATTCTCGTACAAATCGGCACATCGGAGGTATGTTTCGCTCGGAGTTTGCGTTTTTTTAATTGATATATAAAAATAAATTAATTTTATAAATAATTTAAAAACAATTCATTAAGATATGGATTAAGAAGACTACGGACGCCATTAAGTCAAAGATAACTCTCACGGATTTACATAACGGAAAGTACGCTCTTTACAGGCGTTCCTCATAGCAGCTATCGATTAAGAGATTAAGAAAAAAAGACTAAAAAAACTTATATTTAACGTAAAAATTCAATAATTGTTAATAACATAAAATTTTCATTAAAAACAATAAATTTATTTATTTAACATAAATATATTGTGCTCTCAATTCTGTTCGCTACTCTTTCCGCTGTCGTTACTACCGGAGCGTTGATATAACGGCGCCTTCATGTTGGTGATGGATGGCGTGCTGGGAGTGCCCGGCCCTCCCGTCAGGAACAGTCGCGATGTCGGCAGCTGTGCATTGATCTCCAGTTTATTGATCTCCCCTCTCATGAATCGCTCCAATTTGTCGACACACGCGTCCTGGTAGTCGTGGATCCACCTGTCCATCAGGTATACAGTTCCCCAGTTAATAGGTGTTCATATTATTTGGTTACTCGTGAGCACAAACCTGACGCCATTGAAGTAGCAAATGGCGCGCATGTCTTCGGGAAGGGATTCACTCTCAGGCCATTGAAAAGTGTCCAGAATTGGAATTATGTTACACTTACTCTGGAGGGCCTCAACCACTTCCTAATCACACAAATGTTTAATTAATTTATAAGAATGAGTGAACTCTTATGAAAAAGTTATGATAACTAATTTACAAACAAAAAACTTTTAATCATAATATTCTGATCTAATATCACTTACTCTATGGACCCAATCCTTGCACTCGACATCATCGAGACATCTGTCCAATGAGTTCGGTGTTAAGACTAATAGGAAGTACTTTGCCTGACGTATAGAACTCAACAAATTGTTGTCAAACTTTCCGGCTTCGAGTCTCTCGACGTCAATGAATACAGAGAATCCTCGCAGTTGTAAATGTACTTTAAGTAGACTTTCCCATCAGACCAGAAGTTTGTTAAATAAGGTTTGTTATACTGTAGAGTTTTTATAAAATAATACCTGGCTAATTGAGACCCATTCGAGCGCCTATAACTTACAAAAACGTCCAAATTTTCACTCTCCTCACGATTCTCTTCAATTCCCGGAAAAATATCATTAATGCCTGCAATGTATCCAAACGTAAGTTATTTAAACACAACAACTAAACCGATGATTAGCTCTAACCTCTAATTGTTTGCATTATCTTCAGTCTGTGTATACTATTATTAACTTTGCACTCATTCTTCAGCACCTCTTCATCGACCAAACGAAGCGAGTTGTGGTCGACTCCGCTCTGAATCATAGAATACGTGTATTTGGAGAACTCGGGGCCCAATGTGTTGAGAAGATTATTGAGATTCGTGGCATCACATGAAGAATAATCGCTGATTCGCTTCAGTTTCTCCAATTCCCGCAGAAATCGTTTCCTCAGAATTCCGTTTTTAATTCCGATGTCTTCTCTCAGCATGTCTTCAGTCAATTGCATTAAGAGGTCGCCGTCCACACGACTACTCGTGAATTCGTTCACGAATTGACAAAACCCTATCTGAAAACAATTTCACGTTTAATAAGCGTTCAATTGTAAGGACTACTGATTAGAGGCCAACCTGTTTGACCCATTCCTTGACGTCTTCGATGGTCCAAAGGGGCACCTGTTGTGACAGTTTGTGCGGAATCTCTTCCCCAATAAGACCTAACGCTTGGGCCGCGTATTTGGAAGCGATAGCATTGGGAGAGCCGGCGACTGTCTTCAGGGCGTCGATGCATCCAATCTCACGAAATACGGATACCTTGTCTTGAGTTTTCTTGATCCAGGCCTCCATTGCGAAGTGAAAGGCCGCCAAACTTCTGGCCTCTTCCCTATTGCTGTTGAGCACCGGCACTAACTTCAAAAGCCAGTTCTTGGACTGGCCGTGAATATGGGACGTATGGCTGCGCGCAAAGTCTTTTGGATTGTGACTCGATATGAATGGTTCGACTAAATTAAGAGTTCCCGACTTCAGCACATCCGCCTCCACCTCCTTGTTTGCCACTAACACAGCGATCGCCAAACAGGCGTAGTATTTGACGTTATCGTCGTTATGGAAGGCCAGAGGGAACAGCCAGACGTGTGCCTTCAGTTGAATCATCGACACCTGGCTGTCCGGTCCGCCATAGAGGGACAGGTTGGCCAGCGCTGAGGCGCAGTGTCTTAAAGTGGTAATGTCTGTACTCCGGCACTCAAATAATATGGAATCCAATCCTTCCAAACGAATCACTTCTTTGCAGACGTCCTCCGAGTGCTTAAACAGATGCTCCAGAAGTCCGGTGCCAACCTGTGCCTCATCGGCCGAACCCATGTCCACACATTTGTTCGCAATGTTCACCACATCTGACAGCCCCATATCGACCACATAATCCCTATTCTCTGAGGTCAGGCACTGCTCTAACAGTTGTGCGCTTAGGAATTGGATCTCCCATTGGACTTCTGGTCCGCAATTCTTGATGAGTACCTCCAGAGCGCCGCCATCTCTAATGATCTTAGACATGTTGAATCCCAAGTCATAGCCGCACTGCGGCACAGACCAGGCCTTACGTATCATATCTGTCATGACAGTTAATATCTCCACAGAATCAGTCGCCGAATTGAACTTTTCGACCAAATTTGACATTTTTCTCTCCAACTTATCCATCGATCCCTTCATATTACGCGACTCCACGTTATTCTCGTAATTAATATTATTACTAAAACTGCTGTTAAATCCGATGCTATTTGTGGCGGTCGTGAAGTTACTCAAGAAGTCAAACTCCATGTCCACCTCATTCGTCAAGGATAGGATTGTCGGCGAGAAGGGCTCCTGTATGATAGGCTGTGCCGTCGAGGAATCGATTTCGTTGTGATTGACATACTGTAAGCTATTGGAGGCCTTATTGGACACAAATCTGGACGACGAGCGAGAGGTCAGATTTTTGGCGTTTTGTATCATTCCGTGCGAAACCATTCGCTCCTCTTTCTGACTCTCAAACGTCTTCTTATGAGACACGGCGTCGTCGCTGCAGAAGTTGAGTGACGAGGCTTTGGCTGTACTCTGGTGTGAGTGCATTGTGTCTCCGTATTGCATCTGCTTCTGGTCCTGACGTATGGCCGCCACCTTCGACGCCGTGAAGCCGTTGCCCTCGAGTTTGGACTTCAGCGCTGACACCGAACTGCGCTCTTCGATGGACGTGTCGTTTGACTGCAGACGCCGTAACTCTTGATTACTGGCGGTTGTCTTCTGGGCTGTGAAGCCATCGCTCAACACTTTAATCTTCGAGGCCTCGCTCTTGAGGTGGTGCTCGTATTTGGACGACTTCTGCAGAGCTGATCCCGACATCACTGATGATGTGTCCTCATTATCACTCTCCGTAGGAGTGGTGCACACGATTGGCAACGACTCGCAGTTTTCTTGTGATCCCAAGTTATGTCGCGAAGACCTCTCAAAATCAAGACTTCCTTTTCGACTTCCAGACGACTGATTAAAAAGTTGTGTTTTATTTGATATATTGGACGAACAGCTCGAGAGCTAATGTAAAGACATTAGATTTCTCTTATTTTGTAATGATTTATAAAATGTTAACAAGTTAACTTATAAGTTAAGCAACTCTAATATTAGAGTACTGCTATTCTACTATATTAATAATTGTTTAATTAATTAAATAACTTAACTAATCTATTTATTTGAGTTATCTTTAATATAAGTATAGTATTAATATTATGTTATAAACTCATTTGAGATGAAGTTTCTAAACATATACTGTTGTAGAGGCAATGAAATACAGTATTAACATAATGTAAATTCAGCTACTTTTATATTCTTATATTCTTGTATTATTGGCAATAATTTCTTTCGTGTTTACAATGCAATCATTGGCCCAACACTTATTCAATAGCTTATAACACCCCATAAATTATTTATAAATAAAGACTGAATTTGCAAATTCCTATCATTGACTACTAAAAGAGTTGACATAATTTCCAGTTATAGGACTTTACATCAATTCAATTGTTATTTTGTTTGCAATATTCTGTGCACTATTGAATTCATAGGGCTGGCATTCATGGTATCGGATATGTGATGGCAAATGTGTTGCCAAAAATATATGAAATCATTGCAAATCGATAGAGAATTCTAGAAATATTTCTGAAAATGTGAAATGTTGTAGGAATTGGTAAACACTAATAAATTTACTGACTAACCACACGATTAACGTAACATTTGTTTGAATATTATTCATTATGTATTAAAGAATATATGCAAATAAATGGCTTTAAAACAAAACACTCCTTTAGTATAAGCAAATATATTTGGCAAATATTTACAAATAATTTTTCAGATTTATTTCTAAATAAATACAAAAATAGCTAATTATGAACAAAAGAGACTCAATAAAATTGAACTCTTTGTATCCCACCCTATAATTGCTGGTTATGTTATATTCTTAATATAGTAATACTAATACAGAATACAGGCGTGAGGAATGCCTACTATTACGTCAAGAATGCCTGACACATGTCTGTTAATATAATTATGTTTCAAATATTAATAATACTGACAAACAATTACCTGATGTTTGAAGAAATCAGAGGTCTTTTCGAAATTCGAGGCGACCGTCGAGTTAATGCTTTTCATAGTATTTGTTTCACAAGTATTTGTTTGTATTTCACGTAAATTATCGACACTTTTTGTTTCGCAGAATTGGTTTGTTTGCGATGAGAGTGGACCTAAAAAATTAGAGACAAAAATAAAATCAATTCAATGGTTGTGGTAATTGGCGTGAAAACGACTTTTGAAATATGAGTTCTTCAGGCATTAGAAAAACATCAATAAAATGAGCGTTTATTTCGCGGAATCGTTGAAAAGCAATTCAGAAATAATTCCCAAACGAATGGTTAGATAAATATTGAAATGAGACGAAACATATGAGAATAAAACTAAAAATAAACTCATCGTTCACTTTATAAACTACTTTAAAGTAAACTAAAAGGGAAAGGGCTGTTAAATCACCTGAATCTTGGAACTCATTCTTTGGGAAAGAGTTATCCGTTGTGTTAGTATTACTACCATTACTGACGTTACTATTCTTTGCCTTAAACACAGAAGTGAACGCTTTTTTCATGTCTTTAAACAATCGATTCACTGAATATTAACACAAGAATTGAGAGATAGTTTTGCTCTAATAAGAAACCAGAGAAATGCTTAGATTTTTATATTTTTGTTTATTGACTTAAAACGGGTGCCAAAAACCTCCCCCCGTATTCTCAGCGCATACAGTGTTTTCACTATTAATAGAAACTCCATTCAGACTATAAATTTAGCAAAAACTCCTCGATAATAATAAATTTTAATTACATATTCACACTACTCTAATGGCCTATAATTATACATGCATTAAAAGCTATTTTTCAATATCACAATAAATACGGTAACGTTAATGAATATGTGAACACACTTTCTACTACTCATCCCGTTTTAATTGTTTTACTTATTTTTATTTATTTTTATATTCATATATTATATAATTAGTTGTCAAGTTGTTGTTGTTTTATATGTGTTTATTACTAAACTAATTAATGAATTCTACAGAAGTTTATTTTAATATAAATATAAAGTTGCTCTCGATCATATTCTGTTTATTTTATGACTTTTTTGAAATAATATAAATAGGGTAATTCTTTGCTTGTTTCTATAATTTTATATAAATAACATATATTGATAATATATTGATATATTTGCAGCAAAAGTATGTTAAAAAAGTAAATTTTATTTAAAAATATTGACATTTAAAGGATACAAAAAATATTTATTTAAATAGTATTTTCAATGATTTCAATGAAATAATAAATGGCATTAATATAATAAAAATAAATATATTTTTATACTCCTGTGAATATGACAAAAAACTTTATTACAGTAAATATAAAATAAATTTATATAAAAAATACTATGAAATTATGAAATGAAATTAATTCAATTTAGCCTTAAACACATAAGTGCGCGTATTTGTCAAATTAATATAAATTTATAATTTAATTAAACTTTTATAGTTTAAATTCATGCAATTAAACATAAAATATTTATCAATATTTTGATAACTTTGAGATAATCACATATCTATTCACATACGATTCATATTTTCTCAATTATTGTTTGAATATCACGAGTAATATCTGACTGTAAAATCAATTTAACTATAATTAATAACTTTGTTTAAACCGCAAACTCGTGTTGTATTATACCCTTCAAAACCAAAGTGTGGGATATCTTTAAGACTTACCTATGATATTGGTTTCATATAAGACACAGGAATCTCATAATAATCTTAAATTAAAAATTCATGTTGTAAAAAACTAGTTAAAAAAGGTCAACTCATGGTTTGAATAGCAAAGCCTTCGCTTGAAATCAATTGTAATATATTTCAATAATAATTGTCACTATTTTTATCAAATTATAAAACTCGAGTCAATACTGAAAGCGAAAAGTTATAAATAAATTAAAAACTCGGAGAGAAATACAGTTACTGTTACTCCGATTGAGGAGCGGATGCGTAACACAAATCCACATCATTTTGAGCGCAAAAGTGTTTTTCAAGTTTACAAACACCCACTCCTTTATTGTGTCCTCACTTTGCTATTCAATTCAATTCCCTATTCTCTCGCATATTCTGTCACTTCACGACTCGGGTCTCTCACAGTCTCTCTCTCTCTCTCTC